CCCCAAAACCCCAAAACCCCAAAACCCCAAAACCCCAGGATAAAATATATAATTTGAACTTAAATAAATGTACAAGCTGAGATCTTCATGGGCTAAGAGAAATGACAAAACCTATGATGGGAGTTACTTCGTCGAACAGAAGACATTACATCAATCAAACTCTGTCAAAAAGTACGCATTTACCTCTTCCAATCTCCTAAAAACTACCCTCCCCATTAATCCCTTCCCTATAGCCAAACTGACCATACCCATTCTAGCCCCCAAAGAGTGATCAGTATTCTCAGAGTAATTGCCCCAAAACTCCCCACAACTCTCTTCCTTCCAGTTTTATTTACCATAAACCAACCCTGCTCAGGCTCTATCCTTCAACTTTCCGAGTCAGGATTAATTTTGTGCCTAATTTTTGTACTACAGGACAGATTTCTGGACTTTTTGAGTAAAAAACAGGCTAAGAAAGAGGACTTTTTTGGAAGGAATAGGTAAGGGTTTGGGATGAGAGGTAGGCTGAAGAGGGACAAGGGAGGAAAAGTGGTCTTTAAGAACGAGGTTTTGGCGGATTTGGTCAGGAGGGGAGGTAAGTGGAGGAGAGAGGTTTAGGAGCGGAGAAAGGGAAGGGGCAGAAGTCATCTGTGTTTGTAAGGGTTGGAGTGATGGGTAGATACTGAAGAGTCAGAATCAGACGCCTGTCAATGAAGTGAATTTGGTGGAGAAGAAGGTGTTTAAGATCTTGAAAAATTCAGTGAATGATCAGAGTAAAAGTTCAAGGAAAGTGTTGAAGGGGTTGAAAAGTACTCATATCAGTAGGAATTCGAAAAAGAATAGTAGAAAGAAGGAGTTTAGAAATGGAAAACATCTTCTGGTTAACCAAGATTATAGTTTTGATTTTAGTAGGAATTATTCGTCATTATTTCAATCAAAATAATGTTTCTTTGACACAAAACTCCTTAATGGACTTACCGTCCAGAAATGAAACTGTGAGAAAGTCCTATAACATTGAACAAAGCCTGAAGGTAATTAGAACCTTAAAATTTTTAGGAGAGATATACTTCTAAAATTTATTCAAAATCAAGGGACAAATACTTATTGCTTAGCAATAAGTGTCCTTTAAAGGGAAATAAAATTTCTCTACAGCCATATAGTTCAAATTGAGTTCCAAGTCTCCATTCAACATCAACACCTGGACTAAACAACGACCTCCCAGAGGTATCATGAAAATCAATTTGGTAATAAAATTCCTAATTTCCAGCCCAAAAAGCAAAATTTCTTCAAAAAGCAGTCACAGGACCAGAAAAAGAATACTCCTAAAAGTAATCCCTCTACTCAACATCTAGCATGCGAAACCTCACAAAAGTCTTGTCCAGTTCGTGCCTTATCGGAGTACCACAAGGCCTTCACCCCCTAATTTCTACTAAAATCGTCCTAATCCCTTAATCTCAGGCTGCGAGCCCAGGTTGTGGTCTAAACCTACAGATTTGGTAGGTAACTTTCTTTTGAGATCTGGATTCTTCTGGTTGGGGATTTGGAGAGGGGCTGATGGGGTTAGGGGGAGAGCTGGGAGGGAATAAGGAGTTGAAGGGATGGGGGAGTGGAAGATGGGTTGATCTGAGGGTGTTAGGGATGTTTATATCTAGAAGTTTTAAAAATTTGCATTATCTCTTCAATGCCCAAGATTTTATAAACTTTATACAAAACTTTCTTAATTCTGCTTAACTCCCTTCAACTCTTCCCTTAGAACCTGGGGTTTTGGGGTTTTGGGGTTTTGGGG